CTTTAATTTTTTATATATATATTATGTAATATGGTAAATAAATAAAAAAATATAAATTACATTCATATAAACATTGACTTTATTGTCATTCATAATATTCGAGCCGTCAACATTTTGTGAAGACTTAAAGGAGCCGTGGGATGAAAAAGTTTGAATACCTCTGCCCTATGGAGTAAGGAGTAAGACTGATCTTATCCCACTGGTTATACTATACTCCATACAGTTAATACTAATACTTAATTTAACCTTATACAATATGTAATCGCATATATTTGAACAAATATCAACTGAATTCACTATGAAAATGTACACTGACTTAATTTCAATTATCATATAATAATTTAATTGGCTATTATTTTTTTTATAGATTTTCTAACAATGATTTTGAAGTAAACGATTATTCTGAATTTTTGCACGACAATGAAAACCACGGATTGAAAACAAATGTGCAATCTCAATTACAATACGTGCGAGTTGAGGGTGCTGGAGTGTTACATAATGAATTATCTCCTGCTGTGATGATAATTGGGAAATCTCCTTACATTAATTCTATTAATGTTACTAATTCAGCATCTCATGGGATATCTGTCATTACATTTAAACACCAAAACATACATCTTTTTTCTAATTGGTTAGTTGTTATATTTTTAGAAATTATTTGACTGTACTTATTACTTATTGGTGTTTCAGGATTGAAAATAATACTGGAATTGGTATTAACATAATTTCATTAACCGGAGAAGGACAAGAAAATGACGAAAGTTCCTTTGATGTGTTAAAACAAGTTAATATTCCTAAAGACACATTCGGTTTATTGGACATGTGTGATCCCATTAAAGATGTAGTAGTGTATGAACGAATGATTGTACACTTCAAATACAGCGATCAACCTATATCTTGTGTTAAAATTTTCCGTAGTTATTTGGGATCTAAATCATTAGGTTTAAGGTAAGCAAATTAATAGTTATTATTATTAGTATTATTATTAATTTTACTTAAAGCTAACCATTTTAATTTTTGTATATATATCACAGATTACTACAATTAAATTTAGCACATGAAAGTGATTATGTGGGAATATATGATGGAATAATTTATAATAAAACTTCTGAAATTATTCGTCTTGTAAAATCTCCAAAATCTCAAAGAAGAAGATTTATCAAATCCACATTTGGTAGCATTAGTTTGAAAACTATAGCTCGTGCTGCTTCTTCTCGTATTTATGGCTTTATTGCAGAAATTGTGACCCTTCCCATTGCTGCAATAGGTTTTGGTATGTTCATATTATTAATGTATTATGTAATATAATACTTTTATAGATATTAATAATCATTATAAACCACATTAAAAAAATAAGAATGAAAGAAAAAAATATTTTTATTGATAATTTTTAGATCGCAACACTGAACATAATATTTCATATTCAGTGATCAACAATAATTTTATGGGTGCTATTAGTTATGCATGCGCAGGTGAGGTGAATCCACATATTAGTGTTGCTTGGAATAAGATAATCAACAATTGTCGTCACATACCCAATTCAAACATTAGTACATGTGACATGCCTATCCAATTTCAGTTGCAAAATACTCAAAGTTTACTACTTCATGTAAGACATTTTTTTTTTGTGATTAGTTAAATAATAATTTTAAAAAAACACTTGGTATAAATTCCTTTTAACTTTTTTTTTCTGAATGTTTTTATTTATTTATTCATTCTCACTTAATCTGGTCAGCTAACGTTTGTAATAAAGTAAACCATGGTTTATTTTATCCATCCACCTTAATATAATGTTCCTATATAATACTTTTTTCTTAAATATTCAAATATTTTTTACCACCCTGATATTAAAATAGCAACAATACCATGTTTCCATCCTTTTGACTTTACTAGTTGTGTTTTAATTCTTACAATTTCGAATTTATAATGAACTGTTTTTTATTTGTATTCATTGTGTTTAAATTATTTTGCTTTAATTTTCAAAAACATGCAGGCAAAATATTTTTCAATTCTTAAATGTTTTTGTTATTTTAATTTTAGAATAATCTTGTTATGAAAAATCAAGGTGGTCTTAAAGTGACTGCAGATTCCAGTGGATTTGCAACGGCTTTGCAAGCAATCATCCATAATAATTTATTTACAGAAAATGTTAATTTACCAGTATTAAATATAAGTGGCATACGCGTGGCTCCTCAACAACATATAACCATTTACCGCAACTTTTTCTCTGATAATATCGCTCCATATGAAAACATCATTCAGCTTGTGCAGGTAATTATTTAATAATACAAAATTTAAAATAATATCGTATTTAATTTTTAACATTCTATTATTTTAAGGTTATTTCAAATTTTACATTCAACTACGTTTATAGTAACATTGGTTTTCATGTTCTACAAATGTCTGGTTTTCAAGGAATTCGATTGCCATTACAGTCATCAACTTCACATAACGGATTTTATTGGTAAAAATGTATTTACAATTTATTTGTGTAACTGTGTTATTATACATTTTATTTTATTGTTATAGGAATGAAGCAACAAACTTACAGAACAAAGGAACAATATTGGCTCTATCAAACGGTCAATATTATATACACAATATATTTTATGACCCTGAAAATAACTATGAAATCATAGCTGCGACCAGTAATAATAGATCAAAGTAAAGATATTTTCATCATTATAAAATGATCATTGTTTTTCTTGTTGCTTAAAATAATCATCATCACATTAACGCTTGCAGTGATTACATTTATGCTATTGATGGATCCATTGATGCTCGTCACAACTATTGGGGTTTTAATGATACCATTGCTGTCCATGGGCGCATCAAAGACTACAGAGATGAAATAGAATTAATGCCAGTTGATGTAATACCGTATTATTCAACAAACAAAACTATTTTAGAATCAGAAAAATGTCCTCCACCATGGATTCTAATGCCAAATTCTAACACTTGTTATGGATACATTGCAGTACCAATGACATTTCATGAAGCTAAGACATTTTGCATGGTAAATAATCCATGATGTATTGTTGAGTATAGATTAAATGTTATATTTAATTTTTAGACTATGAATGCTTCAATGCCGTTCATTACTGGTGACTATGCGAATATCAGGAGAACACTGCAATTGCAGATCTATGACTATGGCCTAATATGGGTTCAGCATATTGACTACATTGGTCAGTGTACAGCACTCGGTTTTAACAAAGTACACACTAATTTAGAATGTGCTTTTCGTAACGCCTTCATTTGTGAAATGGGTAATAAACTAATAACACATTTGCTTTAAAATAAAAACAATTAAGTTCTAAATTGCTTATTGTTAGTAAAATAATTATTTGTTATTAGACCCTCAAGTGACTATTCACCCATTGAAGTGGCGTGATGATTTTGTCAATATTGCTGTTACGGGATTAATATTTGGTTGTCTGATTTGTGTGGCATTTGTATTATGTTGCTGGTGGACTAAATCAAAGCGAAGGCAGGTGCAAAGGCTAAACAGACGGAATTCAATTCGCCAATCATTAACGTCTTTACGATCACTATCCCTGTCACAGCCAGCATTTTCTGAATTAAATTACCGACGTAAACCAGTATGTTAAAATAATTTTATAGTTTAATGATATTCCATAATTTGTAGCAATACTAATTAAGAAAACTTATATCATTTTAATTTATAGATAATTGATAATAGCAGTGGTTTTAACACAATATCATCCAAAGCCAATGGAAGTAACGATTCCATAATGAAGTCACAATTTAATTCGTCTGTTGATGAATACGAGCCAAGTGAGTTGTACGAAGTGCACAATGTTAACGATCCTATACACATCGAAAATGATTATGATTTAGCATATAAAAATAAAGGTAATTTCTTGGTTTTTTGTAAACACAAAATAAAAAATAAAAAAATATAACTATGTTTATAAATTTAGGTTTTAGGGATAACTCAACATTTGCATCTACAGTGGGTATGTGGACAGACGTAAGTAGTCGAGGAGTATACAGTAGTGCAGAAGTACTTGAAACCAATTTAGATCAAGCACCTTCACCTCCGCCCAGATCACATAGCCAACCGCTAGAAACCTCAATGTGATATATCATAATCCTATGTACCTAAATTTAGTTATAGTATTTATTTGTATTGCTTAATCGATCTCTTAGTCCAGAGACCCACTCGCCGAGTAGGATATTATGTACCTATAATATGTTTATGAAGTATTAATAACATTTAATTTATTAGTACCTATTTACTGCTAAGAAATTGTGTTGAAAAACATAACGCACTATTGCACCACACTGCCTGTGACTGTATTCAAAGAGTCCCTTAATTTTTTTTTCGTGGATAAACGGATATTTTTGTTAGGTTTAGGGAAATTGACAAGGTATATTTTAATTTTTTGTTTTGTTTTTTTTTTATACATGTATATGTAATATTATAGACATAATTTAATTAGAGTTAAAACATTAATTTGTATGTTGTGATTAAAACGAAAAAGTATTCCGTCCAGTTTACTAATCACACGAGCCGTCCAGAATAAAAAAATATTAATACCTATAATTAGCATGATATTCGATTGTTTTATATAGAAATAACTTGTAAGTTAATATGTATTTTTTTTTTTTACATACATAAATATATATTACATGTTTTTTATACTACATTGCGTTATGATTTCGTTTAATATGATGACGTTACTCTCTAATATTGCGGAGAGGTAAAACCTATTTGTCACCGGAATATGCAAATGATGTCAATAACTGATACGGATGGGATGCCCTCATGCTGTGAGTATTATTATTTTTTTTTTTCACAGTCCATTTGTTTTAGTGCGTGGAAAACTTTCACTCGGCCAGTGGTTCCCATTCGAATTGCATTTTTTTTCGTTCATTGGATCGAAAGAAAAATCGCTTTTCGTCGAACCAATAAACCACTTGAGGAATTTTCTCTGCTCGTCGCAATTCGCACTAGATAGTGTGCAGACACCTGCAGTAGAAAATCCCATTACTGCAGGTGCACCGGCGACGACGGTCATCGGTTCGTAGGTACGACGTTTCCGGCCGGTTGAACGTACGCGACGTCGCGACCATGGTTAAGGTCCAATGGTTTTAGGTCAGTAATTAGTAACACGTTTGCGGTGCGTATTTATTAGACGCTCGACTTTGTTTTCTACGCTCAGTGTGGCACTGGTGTGATCATCGGGCAGATTCAAGCGATCGTTCGCACGCGGTGCACAATCGGCGCGCTTTTTTCACGTAGGCGAAATCGCACTCTCTAAAACTATAAGTCTCCTCGCCAAAAAGTAGGTATATCCACTAACCGTCGTCGTCGTCGTCGTCGTCGTTCTTTTTCGCGAGAGCTGCAGGCATAATATTATTATAATTATTACAAACGGTTATAAATATGATTTTGTCGAAAATAATAGCATGCCTCGTCGTACCACTGCTGTCGTCCGTGGTCGTTCAGTCGAACCGAGGTAATTTTTTTAAGTTTTATGCTTGGAAAAAAAATTTCAAATCATTGCGTAACGGCTTGACGGTTATTTTTTTAGACTTTGCTCATCGTTTGACTACTATTGAAGATTTAGCCACTCGTGACAACGTCATAAACGTGCCGGTAGCTTTGCCCACAGGTTACGTTGTGAACAGGCCGTCTCAAAACATGGCTACTGCAGGAGATCGAGTGGACGTTAACAAGGAACCTAGCAAAGAAGTATTAACTGAACACATTTTATTATCGTTATTATTCGTATAGTTTCTGGCGAAAAATGTTTTATAACAACTAATAATAGTAATAACTACCTAGATTTGAATTTGAGTCGTTATTTATAAATCAATTCGATGTATGCGCGAGTTATTGTAGAATTACATCGAAATGTCGAATATTTGATGTTAGAAAATAGGTTTATGGCTCGATACGATATAATATTATACAAGTACGAAGTACTTCCTACCTTCCACGTTTCGACAAAAAATTAACGTTGACTTTATAGGTTTCAGAAACTGATATGTATTTACTAGGAGCTATTGAAAAATTGGTACACAGAATGGATTTAATGGAAAAACGGTTGAAACGATCAGAAGAACTCATTCAACACATCGTAGAAGGAAACGCAGCCAACAGAGAAGGTTAGTCAAAATTTTATTCAAACTGTACAGGGATTAAAAAAAAAATGTTAACCATATATACCATATATAACCAGTTATTAAACATGTATACTATATTTAGGTACTTATTTATTTCAATAAATATCTTATTAATCACAGTTATAGAGTCCAATGGTTAATGGTCAATTTGTATGAAACAAATTTTGTGCTTTAACTTTTAAAGTAAGTTAGGTTATTTAAGTATGTGTTAAGGCTGTTTAAAAAAGTTATTTTCATTTAAACTTAATAGGTACTTACGTAGTCACGGTATAATATGAACCTGTATATGATGGCTAGTGTCTATATTTATCAATAATAACGATCGATAATAATTAGTTAAGTTTTTGTATTAATAATAGTACGTAATGTTTGCACCTTATTTGAATATCGATGCACCTTGAAGTGTTAAAAAATAAAATACAATGGTCTCAGTAGAGGTTATTACATTTTAGGGACTAAATAGCTTAACATTTTTAGTAACTTACTTTTTAAATCACCGTGGTGGGATTTCGTCTCTCAAAATCTCCCCCATTTATATTAGTCATTACTCATTACTCATTAGACATGAATGTTCTCAGTTCTGAGTGCTATAATTTCCACACCCCCGATATTTCGCGGTTTCTCGTTGTTGTTACTGGTGAATTTATCATAATATACATTTATTACCAGCTATTAAGTCATACGAATAGGTACATTTTAAATTCGTTATTTCCGTGTAGCATGTAGGTATTGTATTCAAAATTTATATTGCCACAGTATTATACTTATTGATATTTTATAATAATAGTTAAGAATGTTAATAAATAATAATAATCGATAACACTGAATGATGCGAGGAGGGAGGTTAAATGGCAATTATTCTAACTGTTTCCTTAATAATTACCTATCAATAGTAATTAATGATTAATCAAATAGGTACGTATCCACATTGAATTTCGTTTTTATACATCGTATGAGAGCCATAGACGCGAATAATGGATGATCCAATTTTCATTAATCCATTGCATGCTGAATACCTTTACAGATAATAACGTATTATTGTGACTGTGTGTATAAATTAACCAATTAGGACAGTAAGCATTTCTAAATGTTTAACGATGTAGGTAATCATAATATTCACAATTATAATAATTACACTTGTTTTTTAATTAGCACTTGTTTGTTTTATACAGGTATTGAGGTAAATTTTGAGATAGTACCTACGTATTATAATACAATATTACAATGGGGTATGTGCTTACCACTATATGTATAATAATAATATGTTGCCCACTTGCCCAAAAGATAGGATACAAAGTTTTATCCGATAAATGCCCTTATAATATAATCATATACTCGTATGTTAAAACATAATATATTATACATTATTTTCCTAAATTGTATTAAATATTGTGTAGTTTTGAGTATAGATAGAAAAATTATATTTTTCATAGTAAAGACGAATGACAATTAACGATGTGAGAATGTGAGATATATTGTTATTCGTGGTAAATTTATAATTTATTACTATAGCTATCTGGCTTTATTTATTCTATACAAAAATAAAGTGCTCAACACAACTTCAATAACATGTTACCGCAGTATTTAAATGTATAGGTAATATTACGTATTTACTTTTTACGTTTGAAAATGACAGGATGACCAACAAACCATCATTTGTAAATCGTAAGACCGAAGTCGTTCCCAATATTAATAAATATACTAAATACTTTAGAGTCAATGCTTACAACATAGAAAATTCTAAATAAATTAAAATTCAAACGAAAATGAAAAACAATATGCATCATAGTAATTTAATAGTTAAGCTATAATAATTAAGAATAAAATATAAATAGTTATTATAGGTGCCTAATTATTATTTATTTAGTTATGTGAAGTAGCGATTATATTAGGTACTTATTTAAAAGAATCTATTAACTATTGTTTAACAATTATATCTTGAGCAATAACGTTTATTACCAAACTTTTAGTTTATTGTCAAAATAATAAATGTTGGTATATTTAAGAATATTTATGACTTATGGTGATTGTACACCCGGTAATCGGTGCATTGACTGCAGTATTAGAAATCGAGATCCGAACTAAAGATTACCAATAGAAAACATTTTTTTTTAATTACTTTCTTTTTAAATTCACGAATAACATTAGTAAAACAAATGTAGAATATTTTTTAAATAAGTTAATTCTGTTAATTACAATTGTAAATTTGTAAATTATATACAATCATACAAATTTAAGTATATGCCGGTAGTTGAAGTTTTATTAAAATAGTGAAGTCGTGTGACTGTACCTTAAAATAACTTTAGAAATACTTATAGTAATTATTACTTTATTAGGGTTATTAATCTATGTTTAACTATTATTAACTATTATTAACTTATAATTTATATAACATCCCTTACTTGATAAGCTGTGTAAAAACAAAACTGTAACATAATTAAAAATTATAATAATAAGTACCTTCATTTTATAATTTGTTTTGGTACTGTTTAGTGTAGGTACCCATATACCTATTATAATACCCATAGACCATTACAGCAATAAACAGCATAGATATATTATAGGTATTGATGTATAATATTATGCTGCGTTGTTAGTTAAGACTTTCGAAACTAAATCGAACACATGTATTTGATTTTATAAAATAAAGTGTTTAACTTTGGGTGATTCGGCTAAATACTCTAATAGCTGTGCTATTTATATAACATCACTGATAACTACTATTGTAGTATTGTCTAAAAGTTGTAATAGATGTGTAGGTTATATTTCAATTTGGAAGTAAATAATATGATATATCTATCATTGGGGAATATTAAGCTAAAAAAATATTTTTTTTTAAAACACTATAGATAAGTATAATATAACATTATATTTAGGTTATACGGTTTAATATATTATTATGCATACATATAAGAACTTAATTTTCGAAATCGAAATTATGAATAATTTGATATTGATAGATATTATTCAGACCTATTATAGGTACTTATATATGTTTACTCTTTAAGTCTCGGCGCTTTTCATCAAAAATATATTATATAAATAATAATTACGTAATATATTTTAATAGAACATACATAATATTTCAGTAGAACAATATCAATATTATTATAAGAGGAACACATTTTTAATTTAATTTGATTTCAAATATTTATACAGCTATTAATTATAATCACATCTAAATATATTTTTTATTGTACGATTTTTACTATAGAATACTAGAAATGTATGATGGTATGAAAATAGGAGGTATGATACATAATATCTATTTTGTAAAAAGACAAGTTGTTGTACACATAATCAAACTACTTACTACTTATATTTATTAAACAATAGCTACTCATGATTTCTAATTGTTGGTATTAAATGTATTACAATTAGAAAAATACAATTTTAATAATAAACTACTATACAAATAAAAGCAGAGTATTCCGATTATTTTAAAAGAGTAGTTAGGTATAGACTATAGGTACTTACAAAAAATAAGCGATGAATATTATACAGACAATTTTAATTCAACTAGTTCGTATTGTCTATGTATTATACTATTATTACTATTATAGTGATACATATCATAATTTATAGTTATAGTTATATTTTAAAATTAATAATAATTACTAAATAGTAAGAAGATACAATCGTAATAACAAATAAGTGCAATAAACGAAAATATTGAACGACGACGTTCTATAATCACAATACCCTTAGACATATCTTTTCATCAAATATAACTTGTTTTAAACATCATAATATCTAATAATATATGACTGCTGCAGGTTTCCTCTAGCCCTGGTTGACATAATGAATATTCTTCGGATATATTTCATTACAATGTGGGCATATAGCTCAAATTAGGCTTAGCGTTAAAATATTTATTAATAACAATTATTACGTATAAATACATTAAGTATAAAGACAAAACACCCGTTGTACGATCGTATTGTGAGTGCATAGTTGCTCAGAGTATATTCTATGTATGGTAAATCATTATTTTTATTGTATTATTTATAAATATAATACATTTATAATACATTTTTTTATTTTGCGCAGATCCTTGTCCGGGAAATTTCACGCGTATCGCACATGCCTGTTATCACTTTAGCGAAAGACAGTACAACTGGAAGTCGGCCATGTCGATGTGCAAGAGTTTGGGCGGAAATTTGTTAGAGTTCGACAACAAAGACGAACAGATTGATGTGCTGACGTACCTTATCGGTGACAAGTATCTAAGAGGTGAGTGAGCCATGGTATTATTATGAATGGTTATTAGGGTGTTATATGTATATAGGTTACAGGGTGTCTTAACGTGCATTTTTAAAGAAAGAATTAATGTAAAATATAATTTAATTGGTGATATTTTTGGGAGTTTTAATATTTTTAACGACGACCTAAATTTTTGTTTTCATAATCTGATATACTTTTCTAAACATTGCGAATTAATAATTATGATCTATCTATAATGTAGGTATATCAAATCAAATATTGAACAATATTAGTTTTTTATATCAATAAACGCATTGAAAATGAGTAGTGGACCATAAAAATATTTTGGGATACAAGCAGATTATAAAATGAAAAATATATAGGTTGTAATTTGAAAATTTATTTTTTCGAAAATTCCGTTTTATTTAATTGATAGCAAAAATAACGAATACTGCAGGTTCGCGTTTAAGAAATCACTCTGTGTACTCAGTACAACAGTATTATAATATTTATATATTAAGAGAAATAATTGGAAATTGCGATGCAAACCCGCGCAACTGCAGTTGTCGAATATTCAAATCGCTTGTTTAAAAAAAAAATTCTCTATAATTGCACGTCGGAATCGCTACAGGTTACGACTACTGGACCGGTGGCCTAAACCCGGGACTTTTGTGGATATGGGCCAACAGCGCGCGGCCCGTGGTGCCCAAGGACTCGACGAGGCCCGAGGACCAGATCACCGGGTCCGGAAGGTGTTTGCGCCTCACCCCGAACGCCGCGACCAAGGTGTACGCGTACTCGGGCGCCGAGTGCAGTAACCGGCACCGGTACGTGTGCAAGCACGAGGACAACGCCACGGAAAAGGCGCTGACCAGGATACACAAAGCCCTTAAGGACGGAGGAGGTCAACAGCAGAAGCCGACGACGGTCTTCGGGTCGTCGCCACTGATCGCGGCCACCGTATAAACCGTATTTTTTCCCACTATACCTACTTATTAGCTACCTATACAGTAATCTATAATTGTAAATTGTGTGATAAGTAATCCGAGCATTACCTATACAATATAAATAATATGTGAATAAAATATAGCGAATTGTGAATTCGTCGAGTCCTATACGAAAATATTCAAACTCACTGGAAACGCGCTAACGGCTGTATGAAACTGGATGAATATAATATTATGCTATGTGATAGGTATTGTAAGTAATTTTTTTTTTGTATTATTTATATATATATATATATTATAAATTATTGTTTTCCAAAGACCGCTGTTCGAAGTATACGAACTCCTTATATTTTACGCATCATGTCATATTTATTTTTATTACACGTTCGACGGAATATTAAAATATAACATCTGAAATTTTTTTTAACGTTTGTTGTGGTGTACCTATAAGCTTAACAATATTATGTCATTAGCGAAATGGCGACTATATCGGCGTCATCGCAACACTCGCGTTTTTCGTACAACGCGTTTTGCCAATCGATATTAAAACAATAGTAATAGAAATAATAATAATAATAATAATAATAATCATAGTACGAAGTTCGGTGTCTGTAGCTCTAAACGGTCATCAGGTTGACGGAGGCAATTGCGACGAGTAGCGCGGAGGCGACCATGGTGCAGACCTTGTTCCGACGCCCGTCCGAAAACAACGGCATCGTTCGGTCCATCATCCATTCGTAGCCCAGCCGGCTGTTGTTGTTCTTCAAGAGCTCGGTGCCCACCATTTTCCGGATCTTGTCGTTGTACGCGTTTAGCCATTGCACCTGACGAAAGGATAAAAACAGGATAAAAACCACATTGGTCGCATGTCGAAATCTTTCGGCAGTAAAAAAAAAACAACCACGCGTGGTGTATAAGCATAATATCGTCGATAAATTTGAAAAATTTTTGCGATGTTTTTTCCAAATATTTATTCAAATGTAACTTACACTTTGCAGTGTATACGTACTTGTTTTGGGCTGAGCATGTAGTAATCGATAAGCTTTGGTTCGAACGGTACTAGAGTGATCGGCACGAACGTCAAATATTTACCCATTGTTTCGTTCTATACACAAATAATAAAAATTTATAATTTATACGCATTCTGACGATATTGTTTTTTCTTATTCCACGCGATCCCTTCGCTACATAATATTAGTCTTTAGTTAATATTTGTTACTATATACCATATAATTACCTTTGTTATCACTTCTAATATAGTTTCTAGACGTACGCCAAAATGATTTTCTTTATAATAACCAGGTTCTGTGTTAAAAAAAAAAAACATGTATGAGAAATATTAAAATATACTTTTCTGTTGACTGTCATGCACCATAACATACAACTAACGAACAAATGATCTGCAGATGGTTCGTACAATCGCACAATTATTACTTATACCCAGCTATTATAATTTTTTAATTTGACGTACTTACCATCAGATATGAAATATCCTTCTTTGAGCACTACGTCACTTGCTTTTTGTCCGTAATACATATTAACAGGTGCTTAAATGTTTAAACAAAAATAATATTGAAATAATTAGTTATATTGATTAGGTATCTTAAAAAAAAAATCAAATTAAAAATAGTACAATATACATTTTTAATAAATGTATTGTATCAGTAGTTTATTTTTTTGACACATTTTGTTTGTCTGTAGAGTGTCAGGTTTACGCTTTCCTATCTGATTATTACTAAGCTACAATATGACAGATTAAAGAACCTAATTAATATTCTGGCCTTGTTTAAATTACTATAAATACATTATTACTATACTGTTTTGGCTATATATATTATTAGTATTTTTGATTGAAAATTGAAATTACAAACATATTGTTCTAGAAAACCAAAATATTGAACGATGTAGGTATAACTGTTATTTATTGGACTTGTGGTGAATGTCTGCATCGACAATTTAAAAGTATCGTAGTGTCAGTGGCGTATTTATTGCCAAGGATAAATACCCCCTTGGGCTTTCTTCCTTTATTAAAAGGAAGTAAGTTTATTACCTAGACACTCAATTGTGAATTTGTGCTTAATATTAACTATTTTATAGTATTTTTATATTGGTTTTTTTTTGTTTTTGTAAATGCAACATTAATTGATGTTAGATGTTTATTTTTTTACTGCATTTATTTAAGTTTTATTCGTTTATTGTTATCGGTGTACATAGTAGGGGGATAACTATGGAGTTTATCTCCAGTAATAATTTTTGGGTGTAAATTAAAAGTTTGAATTTACTCAAGACCCTATTGAAAATAATCAAGATATTTGTGTGATGTACAAAAAATAATTACTTATTGTATTAGTTAGTATTAAATGTAGAATGCTGTGTACACTGTACCTGTATACAACTAGACGATTGAGTAAATAGACTGTACCTATACTGTATAACAGTATAGTCATTAGTCAAGTATTATTGGAAACCTCAAAGGGTGTCACTGTTACGAACGCGATTCAGTGCTTCATCCCCTCACTTAAACAGTTCCTAAATACGCTTTCGTGTAGCGTGTACCGTATATTGTATATCTTATATTGTAAACATATCTATAATGTACCCAGTACGCGACAATCGAAAATCGTGTACACTTTCTAGTTTTCTACAGTCGTAATGGCGTTATATAATGACATGGTTGTGAACGAGAAACTGGCTAACTGACACAAACATCAGAGTTTACGTGAATCAATTACCTATTCCCTTTGATGTTTAATTTTTCTGAACAAACAATCAATGTACCTAAATTGGGTTATACATTTTTATGTTTTTTTTCTTTGTAAAATTCTAGTGCTGATTACATTACAATTTACCTCCTTGCAGGAAATAAATACCAATGGAACTTTAATAATATTTAGAAATAAGAATAGTATACATTATATATAACGGGGGTGGTGAACCTGTGGCATGTATACGTTGAAGACGTCTGAAATCGTATTATCACCCCTTGGCTCTTACAAAAATAAAATAATATATTATTATACGTATGTCATATACCCATAATAATCACTTACGTTCGTGGACCTTAAGAAACACTCCTATCCCGTGGCTGGTACCGTGTTTGTAATCGTAACCGAAATCCCAGAGCGGCGCCCTGGCAATTACATCAATCTGATTGAGTTTCAAATTGTACGGAAATGTGAACGACGCAAGATCGATGGACGCCATCAACACCCTCGTGTACGCTTCGATTTGTTCGGCCGACGGCTGTCCGAAATGCACCGTTCTGGTCACGTCCGTAGTTCCGTCTGCAGTAGATCAGGAACATGAGTTAGATTTAAATCTTATTTGTTTCACGGGGTCTTAACTTAATGTAGTTATTTTTTATATTAAATATTAGGTAATATATTTTTATTACGATAATCACGCACCACGCACGGCCCACACTTCGAGTTTTATATGAAGATTATTATTACCTATTGGTTTAAATTTTCATTGTGTTTTCGTACGATATTGTATAACGATTAATACACAAGTGGTGCTAGGCCATAAATAAATATCGAGATTTTTATAATAACTATTCCCTGCAGTGCATTTGGAAATAATTTAGAAAATATATTGAAGTTTAATAGGTGGAATTGCAGAGGCAATTAATTAATTATTTGATATTTTGGTAGCTTTGTTAGGATGACAACATTTATTGTATATTTCAAAAATATTGACGACTTTGATATGAGCCTATTATATAGGACATCTGGACATTATGGTAACCGATATTTCCGATTTGGGCGGGTCCTAAACGTCTTATATTTGTATACGTCCCGGTAAAGTGTGTGTGCCGTATCAAAATTCAAAACCATCGTCAATTATAATTTTCGGTGCCCTTTACTACGAAATGCGGTGACGCCGACGATATAAAAATCGTTTTACTACCAACATGGCATTTAGAAATTTAGAATGTTTGCAGGTTGACCTATATTTTTTATGAAATAATTTATGATAAATTTACCCTATAAAACGATTTCTACGCTCTTTAAAATAACTCTACTTACACTTTACTCGACATATAATATAATAATAATACATATACCTGCAAGTGCGCAGTGTTATATGAAATTTATCTAACCTAACCTACGTTCGTAATAACATAATACGAACGTAAATCTCTCGTGAGGCTGTTCATAGAAAACCAAATATCGCAAATACGCGACTTCGTGACATATATCTGACCTGCCCATACGTTTGTAATTTAACCATGATGTAAAAATGAAACACCACTTTCGATTATTATATTTATCTGTAAGCTCGAGTCAGCAAATGACGTCAATTTAAATACATATATAGACTATGTGATGGGTGCGTACTATTTTATATTGTTGTTTATACACCTTGCACCTCGAGTAAAATTAAACGTAAATGAGTTAAGTCTGCATTATGTGTTAAGATGAGACACTTGACTTTTCACTTTCTATATTTAGGTATACACATGTGTAACCTATTTACCAAAGTAACGCTCAACTCACATTATTATCAGTGTAAATTATACCTACATTCATTATACACAGTAGAATAGTCCTATATGTACAGTCAATATAGGACGAAATCTTGGTGTATTTAGGTATAATAGTTTTATCACATTTTAAATCTGTGACGGGTGTTTAACCTAACGTATAATAGCGCTTATGACGTCAATCTTACCCCAGTAATGTGCACCGCTGTCAATGACCAATGTGCTGACGTGATCAAGTTTCAAGCTGCTCGATATCGACGGTGTATAATGAGGTATAGCTCCGTTGGGTCCGTACCCTACAATGGACCTGAAACTCGCGCCTCGGCTGAAGTTTTGTTCGTCTCTGTACTTGTCCACCATGTTGGCCACAGCCAGTTCAGTGAGTTGTTGTCCGTTTTTAAACTAACATACAGTAAAAGTTTGAGAAAATTACGAAAATACGAACGTATTATAGATGTATAATTTGTTGATAAGAAATACTGAATGGGTAATATAATAGCTTCTACGGACGCATTTTGTAGCTATCCCTTCGAAACTATTACGCCGTTTTAGCAACGAAACTTGTAGGCTTAGCTGCCGAGGTATACTTGTGAATTAGGAATATTTACCAAATATGGTATAGTGTTTGTGTAGGTAACAAGAATAATTATTAGAGTATATACGCTAATCAAACCAAAATAAATTCGAAATGTTTACAAGCACCAGCTGGTATTCAATCGTTCGAATATTCAATATAGCCGTATAGGTATAGGTACATATTACAATTGTTATTGTATCGAATGGAATAGTAATTTGATTATTTTATATTTTGTACCTGTTCGTTAAGCTTGGCCAATATATTACACATCGCCGCCGAATCTCTAATGTGCGAGAGTCGCATTCCTTCCTTTTCGACGGAATTCTTTTCTGCCATCATGTACATGATTGGCGAAGGAGCTTGCTTTCTCTTTTCGGTATTGATCTACAATAATCAAATAAGCAAAGTGAACCTCATCAAAATTAAATGGTATAATTATATTTCCATCACACACTGTACAGTTGAAAGTTTAAACACAATATTCATTATTCATAGTAGAGGTGCCTACAAAGAAATTACATTTACATTTTACACCGCCGCAGTCAGTCTAAAGTCATGATTGACGAGGGAAAAATTATATAGGTATATATAATACAAGTTATACAATAGCATGTTAGTGGTGGAAGATTATTTATAAATTATAGCGGTATGATAGGTACATATATTATATTGTTCATTCATTATATCGCAATCTACTTTCGAATAAAACTTTTCCATTAAGTAGATTAATTATAAATACATTTACATTAATTGCAATGAAGATGTCGATGAAGACTTAATGGTACAATAATTTTAAGCTCGAGAAATGAATAACAGGAAAAAAATCATTAAACATTAAGTATACGTCATCAGTTGTCATGATAAAAAAATAGTATTCGTATGATCGACGAGGCCATCATAATTTCAAAAACTCACCAAAATGTAAATGCATCTGCTCGCCCCGTTGTTGAACTCCGTAGCAGACGGTATTAGCACTTTTTGCCAAATCTGCGATAGCGTCCTCAGGTCGATCCATATGGCTTCATAATCGTGGAGCCTACAGTGTGATATTTAGGTAAGTATACATATTATAGCTGTATTATTCCAAATAGGTTTATATTATCTTGGTGGTAATAGTATTCGAATACATAATATTATTTAGAGTAAATATTATTAAAATATGCGGGAGGCGAGGTCAACTGCTATAGGTACACACAAGTACACAGCACACTATGTTATTTATACTAAATAGTTATTACTTATTATTATAATTTGTATATATAGCACAATAATATGCTATATTATTATAGTTGTAACTTTCGACGATGTACGAAGTCTAACCTGGCGCAATGAGCCGATATACAGTTGTCAGTGTGCAGATGTCTCCGGATGTCCGGACTGAGCTTCACGGAATCGGTGTACAGGTGCAGTTGGTCCTTGCTGACGATGACGTACGACTTGAGAAAAGGACCGTAAGGTATGTCGTGGCCTCGAATATTCAGCAGCCACGCGATTTCGTCCAGAGCCGTCACGATCATCGCGTCACACCCCATGGCTTTGATTTTTTCGCGAGTCGCATCCAATTTGTCCTCCCATCTCTTGCCTATTTTTTTTTTATAATTTCACATAATTTTTTTACTTAAGGAATTTATCATGTACATATATATATATATATATTATCTTGTGGCGTATTCATGTGGATTGTGAAGGAATCACGTAGTTTGAATTTGATCCCCCTTGAGTCACTAACAAGTATTTAATTCATAATATCAAACTAATTATAATTATATAACACAATATAATCCTTATTTTTAAGAGAGTAGGTAAGTATACTTAAGTACGCTATGTATAACAATCGGCAATAATTGTTTACCAAAATGTGCAACGTTTTTGTAGAAACGATAAATATTACTATTCAGTATGGAAATGATTATTTTTCTTATGAGTTTATTAAACAAAATTACGTTCATCTGTATTGCAGTTTAGTTACTCATGGTACCCAACTATATGTAAAGGGAATGTTGCGTTTCAGCGAGTTCTTTAAAATTTGTTTTTTTTTAACTTTATATAAAATGTGAATAATATAATATTATGTAGATATTTGAGTATATAGAAATAAAAATGTGGTAAATATATTTCTTTAGAAATCAAATACGTGCATAGTATATATATTTTGATTATGATACATTACATATAATTTTAATTTTAATTTTAATATTTAAATTATAATGCAATAAAATTAGTATATTAATAAGTGTTATACTTCAGATTCAAATAAGTTGTTAAATTATGAATTCATTCAGAATCGTTTACTACGATCTTTTAGTATTAGAACAAGTTTAATCAAAGAACGAGTGGTTGAGAAAGAATTATTATTTCATGTAAAAAATATATTATACTTATATGTATGATATGTATGTTAATATTATACATTTAATAATTTTCCGATTTAAATGATTTAACAATTAGAATGAATTACATAAATCAATAAATACTGTGAGTAAAAGTCAGTAATCTGAAGTACACAATTTAACACATTGGAGACGAGTACCGTGTTAGGCACGGCCACGGTTTTAAGATAAGTGAGACGCTAGAATTTTTACAATGTTAATGAATTTTATGAAGACAATTAGAATTAGTCGAGTCGACACTAAAATCAACGTTAAACAGTGCTACAGCTAGATTATCCTTGCAGGATACTGGGTACATAGAACAATATTTTATTATTTTTGAACAAATTTGGTTACACGGATCTATTTACTTCGCTACGACGATGAGTTGGTGTATATTGGTGCACGTTGCATATACTCATAAATGTGACATGTACCTACATGATGAGTTATGGTTGGGCAGGATGTGCATACGAATGCATGCGATGTGTATGAGGTATGCCCCTTTATCGGCTACACATAGCTAACAAAATCGTGATACTGACCTGCGTATTCTAGAGGCCAGACGTAAGCTTCGCGCGTCGGATTATCGGGCCGGTTGTCTATCCATATCATATCAATTATGTTGTTATTGATGGGCACTAGGCTGATGGACTCGTTTGCCAGAGCGTGAAACAAGAACTCCCAATCACCGTTCGAGATGAGCTTAAGGTCGGCGCCCACCCTGGAATTAGGCTTGAATTCGTCCAGCAACCATTCGTCGAGCCTTTTCTGCAAATATATATTTTCATTTTTTTTTTATAATTGTAAATCACATACGCAAATATAAGTTATGTGCAAGCAAACGTTAACCACCACCACACTGCACGATGTGCCAGCAATTATTTTTGATAAAGAGGGTTTTATAAATCTGCAAAAGCTGCGCCTACCGACTCTCCGTGGACAAACAGCTGCCAGTCGCAAGACAGCTCTTCGTCCGCCTGTTTGTGGTACATCCACACGGTCCAGAAAACCGCTTTGGTCTGTGTTACCACGGCCACCCCACCGGTGCCACTGAATCCCGACAGATATTTCAGCCTTTTGTCGTGGTCCGCCACTTCTTCGTTCTACACACGAAAAGGACTCATCAAACCACGCGTTATAAATTATAATGTTATGATTGGTGTACCATTGGCGTTCAACACAGTTTATTTTAAGTCTTAAAAGTATTTTACAACAGGCCATGGTTTATAATATATGTTTAATGCGGAGACGGATTATTGTCTTGATCAGTTTTCAAAAATCGTGTGCCGATGAATATTTTTAAAGAAATCACGTATTCATGTATCATAGATACCTAAATATAAGTATAGCCTCTTGTTTCTTTTTCTGCGGAGCCACGAAATCGGGCATTAAAAAAATTGGAGTAATTTTGATTTCAAACGTGCAGTCCGCTCATTAGGAACAATAACCTGAGCAAATAAGTTACTAAAATGACTTTTCAATTGTTTTTTTAATAATTCGAATAACACTGCAGTTCCGATACATTACAAACAACTTAAAATTACCTGCTACAGTGAAATTTAAATAAATAATGAAAAAAATAATTCATTAATTTTGTAAAAGTTTTTCGATTTTTGTAATATTTTGATAGTATGTATCAATCAACTTTGTTGTTGTAATTAAAATAGTGTGTAAACCTATAAATTATCTCAAATAAAATTATAAATTACTTGATGTTCGTCAGTATCAGGAATGATATACGCATCGATTGGAGGTCCATGGTGTGCATTTCTTTTCTTCATTTCATTTCTCAACCTTAAACACGTTGATTTTTACTCTATTGTTTCAATAAATTTGTTATAGTTTAACTTAACAATAATAAATTAAAATTAATCCAAGAGTTATAAACTATAGTGATGTAATAAGTGCTAACATTTATTATTTATAGGTATGTATATGATACAACTAAAGTCTATAGGTATAGTATTATAATAATAATATACACATAGGTTATATATAAGTATATAAATTACTAAATGTCTAAATTAATAATAATTGATTACAAGTAGCTTACTAGGGAGTTAATGTTTATGCATTTATCATATTTTTAAAAAAATTCTAAATTATGTGGAGTAAGGTTATCATCGCATATTAATTTTATTAAATTATATTTGACTTAATATACTTGATTAGTTTCTAAGATATATGTATATTTTTTCTGATCAACCAACAATTCACGAAATTTAATTTGTAAAATTATAAATTATTTTTAATGTTTAATGAATAAAATATAAAGTTAAAATTAATAAACAATTACTTCATTTTTATTGATGCATATTTTAATTCTAAGCATATTCGTATTCTTTAAAATGCATACTTTTCCATTTTTTAGAGCATAAACATTCACTCTCAAGTTATACATTCATACCATAAAACATCATATATATTAAAATGAATTATTTTTAATATTTTTATTTTACTCGTGAAGGATGGCAGACGTGTTGACTCGATTAATGGGCTGCGGTACGTTTTCCATTGGTGGACATAATTTTCTACCCACTGATTTTTCATTAGAATCTCCATTTTGACTATACGCCGTTGTCCAGAAGTCTAAAACTTAAAGTTAGACATAATTATATAACTAGGTAATATTATTCCTAATAATACAATAAAATCATGATATCAATAACGTCATAAGTCCATACAACATCAATTGTTTAATGTTTAAACCATTATCAAATATTAACTGTTACAAGTTAAATTTACGATTGTTCTAAAAATAGCGTAATCAATTTTTAAACACCTATAAATATGTTAAATGAAATCAATCATACTTTGTTTTTAACTAATTAAAATATTAACTATAAACTTGTAACTGTAAGAGATTATTATTTGATTTATAGAATTGAATTGAAGCAAAATATATAGGTAGATGACAATAATGAGTTCCACATCTACCCATATCTTACGACTTACATCTTATATAGTTATTTGATAGGTATACATAACAATATGAGATATTATATATTCATAAATATATTGTTTAATATGCATTTAAGTTATACGTTAAATTGTAATGTTATAATGGTACATACTACATAATATAATATATACATGGATATGTTTATACTACTGGTAGTAGCGTGCTATTAGTGGTTAACTTTTGTGAAAGGGGGATATGAATATTCTCGACTGTTCTCACACCACGTAATAACATACCAAATTATATTTTTGTATTTACCTGCAGGTGCTTTTTAATTATAATTTAAAACAATATATATCATTAATCGTGTGTAAGGATAATTTGTGTATGAATTATGAATAAATGTTAATAAAGTACAATAATTACTTAATTAGTAACATCTTGGCGTAAATCACCCTATAAAGGTGGTAAATAAGTAGTGAGTACTCATTATCACATTATTGTTATCACTTAGCAATCAACTCAACATGATGTTTGAAAATATCCAATATTAAAAATCACACAAGAAAATATCGAAAACATGCATATTTTTTATTTTAACTATAAATTATAAGAAATCGATAGAGAAAAAACAGCTGATGGGGGATATGACACCCTTATCCACTCTCGTGAGTATGATTGATTTCAAGTATTCTCTAAATTCCAAATGGCAAATAATTTCTTAAAATTTTGAATTATAAACATCGAATGACCACAATATATTTTTGTATTTATAAGCATTTAAGATATTACAGATAAGTCTCGAAGTAATGTACAAAATAAACCGGAAGACTTGAGTACATTTATTTTTTAATTGCTTATAGACTACAAAGTACAGATAAACTTCACTTTATAAAGTCATTCTTAAAACTTTCATTATATTTAACAAATGTTATTGTACATTTGTGAATACGCAGTTGTCGCTTCTGCTTCATGGCACCACGATCAATATAATAATAGACCTAGACATTATTATGTATACATAATACATACCCACATATTATGTGAATACGTATAATATTATGAGTTAATAGGTATATAAATACATGTATAAGACTCAAGTCATTTTTGGTACTCATATTATATTGAGCAGGTCATTATTTTTTTTCAAAATTGTTTACCTTATTAATGGCTAATTGACACAATTAATAAGAGGTTAGACGATATAATATAACACTTTGATTCAAGTTACCCGCTTGATGAGTAGAGGTGGAAGCCTCAATAGTATTAATTTTTCAAAAACTCATCCTTGCATTCCGTAATCTTTTTATTTGTTGTAAACTCTTAACTATTGCAACAGTGCTTTAAGTTTTTAATTCAGCCGTTCCTATAACGGGTCAAAAATTATAATATGGAATTTTAGATATACGTAAATGTATACTCTGAGTACCGCAAATCTCGTCCTGGTACTATAAAAACATAAAACCAACTATACTTATCTTACCTATGTATAATGTAACCAAACCCAAACGTATAAAATAAAAATAACAAATTTATCGGAATCATGATTCTGAAAAAATCAGCTTTGAGAGAGGGAAATCCCAACGACCCAAAGGGTGAAATTACTTTTCTGGACAATATTAAATGTCTCTATATTGTAATTAAATGAGGGAGGACCACTAAATGCAGTGTGTAGTCCAACTACACAGACATAGTAACAAGGGTAAAGTGTTGATTCCCTCGAGAATGGTATAGTAGAAACTAGGAAGTGCAATCCAACGTAAATCTTATGGCACCCCATACAAAATTCGATGTGTCAGCGTAGGTATAATAATAAGGTTGATAATATGTCTATCAACTATCAACTTTAATACAAGATAAATAGATACCTACCGGCTACCACCTACTGCTTCTATCTTACAATATATACTGTATACCTGTACATTGTATTGTATAAATGGGCCATGTGGATGGGAGATTCCTAATGTAATTTGGCCATGTGGTAATCATATATTTTGACCTAATTTCGGATGACATTTAAAGTCCTCGGGGGACGTGCATATATTGTTTCACTAAAGGTTGTTTTCTGTGGGGGCCGTATAAAAATTGCTGACATTTCAAAATCGTCAGTTAGAACCGCGGCGCTATGGCGAAAACTCGGCAGTTTTTTCTTTGGGTTTTACGACCAACAGAAACGCATCAACACATTAATAATTATGCCCGGAATTATACGAAAAATTTAATTATTTGTATACACGGTCATGGTGCGCACGTTAACATAAAAAAGTGAGAGTTGATTTGAAGTCCCTTTAAACTATCCCCTATTTTTTTTTACGTCCTCAGAGTTTTCAAAACACTACTATATTTTACATATCAAAGTTACCAAAACGCTTGCGAAAAAACCAATCAAAAAAAAAAAAAAATACGTGTCGTGGGTAGTTTTTAACTTCGCATATACCCACAATCCACATACGTACTTATATTTAATACGTATGAAAGAGTGTTTTGATTTGCACTCCAAAATTTCTGGAACACAAATTGTATGGTACCTATACCTTTACTAATGTAGTAATGTCTAATCCTTATACATATTATATAGGTAAAGGTCCTAGGTTGCTAAAATAAAATCAATGAACAGATATACCACATAATAAAGGTAGGTACGTAAAAACAAAACAATGTCTCTATGACTCTACCCCAAATTAAATCCCATGCACATAGGTGCAACACGATATCATATTGCCAATAACTTATATTTTAATTACTTTATTGGTATTATACGGCATCAACTTTTATCTAGGTATTAGGTATATATAATATAAACTATATCATAGGCGTAGCGTGATCAAATTCTACATTTAGCATGTACCTACTACATGCTAATCTACTATACAAATATTGAAAACTTTGTATATATGTACCTAATTCCGAATTCGTTGGGGGAAATTATGGATTTTTTAAAATGACCCTTCCTTTTTTCATTACGATTTATAGTTTCTTCGTCACCATTTATAATGTAATAAAATATCTATAGAAGTAAGTTTGAATAACGACTAAATTGGATAGTTCCATAAATACTATTAATCATTTTTTTATTGTTATTATTTAATTTGATGAAATGTATTTATTGTGTTTGCAACTTGAAATATTAGTGATGGATATCATATTATAGTAAGTAGTAAGTACTATAATAATATGTAGGTACTCTATTGAGTCCATTCAATACCTACATTTTGAAAATATTTTGGTACCTTTATATAGTCGTGAATTTTTTTATGGGCAATTACGATTTTAAAACCTCCTATAAAGTAGTATGGGAGATTAGGTTAAGTTACTATTATATATAATAAACTGAACTTTCGATAAGAATAGTTATTCGAATGTGATTATATTTTATCAATGCTTTTAAATGTAAAATATATGTTGCGAGCACCCCGCTATATACTGTCAGTTATCACTTATCAGGTTAATTTAATGTAGAATATAATAACACTAATAATAATTAAACAATATATATAAGAAGTTAGGACATTAGGACAAAGTAAGTCAACTGTGGAACTGATGAAAATTCTTAGACCAGTATAGTTGTATACAAGTTGGCGTAAATATATATAGTCTAAATAAAAATTTAAAAAAATACTGTGGTGAAGGGGCTCAGATTATGCCACTAAAAAGTATAGACCCACTCACGACTTCTGGTTGAACTGTAAACCACCCACGTGATTCTTTTAAATGATATGCTCGGTCACTTGAAATAGATAGTAAATATACAAACCTAATCATATATAAACACCCATACTGTCCGACACTGATGTAAACGAATAAACGAGGCCAATATAATATGCCAATGGCCAATGACCATACAAGGTAGATATCTGTGGACCATCGATATATTCATGTACAATATATCCAACCTGTATTTTTCTTATTCTTGACTCATAACCTTTGAGTTATACAGGGTTTTTTTTATTTATAACTTTACTACGAATATTATAGCACCTGTAAAATATAGACGTAGGCAATCTGTGTACTTTAAACGCAAACGGAACGAATCATTCAACGCGATTCGATGGTGGCCATTATATTAATGCGTACGCTTTATATTTACCATTATTATGGATATATAATATATATGCCTTTTAATAGGTGTTTATAAACCTACAGCACCTGAGTGCGGACAACGCCCAATCGGCGGAAACAACCAGAGGAAGTTTGTCCGTGGCCCCATCAAAGTTTTTATTGATAGAAGTTTTAAACATCAGTTAAAAAAAATGAAAAGAATAAGTATTAAATATTTTACGCCTTTATAGGTATATGTAATGCATATATTATATATACACACTAATACACTATATTGTAATGTTCAGCAAATTTAAAATGCGTTTCGTCAATATGCTCGATTAAAAAAGGTAAAATATTAAGTGCATCTTGACTTTTGAAGTCTTATAGATACAGTGAAATATTTTCATGGTACAATTATTAGGTAGGTTAAGTATATGTGCATCGTGCATACATTCCTCTACCGTAACCAGTCATGAATAATAAGCATGTACCTATTAATTATAAATTTATGAGATTTAACGAATCAAACATATAGATATTAAATAGGTAGTCTGTAAGTATCTTATGGTTGATATTATTTTCATATAGTTTATAATACTTCATAAACCTAACTTCTTCCTTAGTCTAGGGCTCGAAAGTTCAAGAACTAAAAACTATAGATATATGTGTTTTAAATCGCTAAGTAGTAAAATATGCATAAAATTAGTTAATTAGTAGAATTGGAAAACATTCAAAATTGAATTAACATGAACTGTTAACAACTAAGAATTTTGACGGATTTGCAAAATAAAAACGAACGACTAATCACCATTATCTAGCTAACCCGTGTAATCTCGTCGGGACGTTATAAACTTTATAATATAAAGGATGTCAGAGCTCGGAGCTGATGCAATTTTGGTTGCCTACACACATTTGACACGTTACAGGTAAAACGCTATTTTCACAAGTTGTAATAAACTAATAGACGTCGCAATGTATCACACTTTTTTAGTATATTTATTTTTAAATGTATTTTTTGCCGTTATTAAAAAAAAAATTTTTTTTTTAATCTCACAAACTACTCTTATGTTTTTTTTTATATTAATTTAACCTAACCTAACCTAGCCTAATCATAAAAACTAAAAAAAAACCTTTGAATGTGTCTTATCTAAAATGCTTAGGTTAATATTTATTAAATATTTCAATACTTATAAAAAATAATTGTTGGCTGTCGGGGCAATTATAAAACACTGGGAAATATTAAAAACATTTTATACAATGTACATGTAGAAGTATTTATACATATGTACACTATAGTAGATAGGTACAGTATATGGGTATATCTTTATACAAAAACCTTAAAATATGCAATATAAACTTTTTAAATTCATTAATAAGAAATGTGTAGGTAAAAGCAGGTATATCTATCAATTTTTCAAACAACCAATTAGAAAAAAAATATGGAAGTACATAAACCCCTGGGCCTCAGTCTCTTTACAATATAGGCCTATGACTTATCCGTGGTATCATTAATCGCAATGACAAATTACGTGAAATCACGATTAAACAACAGGGGGTGATACGGTTTCATTATGTTTGAGTTACATGCACATAATATTTAGGTAGGTCCTTTATTAATGTATATAATAGTTTTAACTCATTTCTCAAACAAAAACCCCTGCAGTGAAAACTACAATGAATAATATTGAATGGTATTTCCGCTTATATTGGTTTTTGGTATACCAAGTATAATAAGGTTCCTCTCTGCCTATAGATTTCCGTTATCTATATATTTACATTTTTTTCATTTTGTTCATCCTATAAAAGCATTTAAAACGCGAGGATATCGAATGAATATTAATTATTTAAGACTTAAGTGTTCAAAATAGATAGGTAATTAAATTCTTGACCGATTTGTTCTAATAATTGTTGACTAAAAAAAATATAAAATAAAAGTTAGGTCATTATAGTGGGTAGGTATTAGCGTATTACCTATGTCAGTGTGTTAAATAAACCCATATACCTACAAACTATGGACAGCACTTGGAGAGAGAGAGAAGTCAGGCAACGACATAGGGTGAGCGAGAAAAGAAACAAAGTAGTAAAATTTATATTCAGTTCCTTATGCGGGCTCCTTTACTACTTTATGTTCTTTCTCTCTCAGTTATATGGTTATATGATCGCCCAGCATTGATGGCAGGGCGGAGTAGAATGAGTTGTCCATTAGTTTATACGTCTATGCATTAACCTTAACCAGTATAGCAGTATTCCCAATACCATTACACAGTTCAATAAAAAGGTATTTTTCAAATAGCCGGTATAAAATCATAATATATAAATACATAATAGGTACCTAAATTTATCAGTCATCACAAAACTACAAGACCGTAAAAAATTCTTTTTTTTAAGTATTCGACAAATAATTAAAACCAGTTGGGTATTGTATCTAGCTAAAAATATATGTTAGATATAGTCGCGCAAAATAATAAAATTATCTAAATGATCTGAATAGTGGTATATATTACCATCGAAGTGAAATCTTGTTGAAATTATAAACAAAAATTAAATAAATATTGTTTTATTTTAATAAATAAGTAGTTTTTAATAGGTAGTAGGTACCTACAGACTACAGTATACCTAGGTATACTAAACTAAGGTACTACCAATAGAGCCGTACGCCTGTAATCTGTATAATACCTCCATTGTTTTACATTTTTATCTTAGCTACACATGAATATATTGCAGATTAAGTACATTTTTTATTAAAATTTCAATAACAAAGAAAAAAATGAAATTGCTTAACTTTATTTATATATACTTACATGCTATATACTTCGCTATAGACTATAAGGTACCTACTAGGTGGGTAACACTTTTACTGTAAGGTTATAATTTCTTATTTAAGGGTAACGTATTTGTTCCCTAGTACACCTATAAGCTATTCAGTATATAAGGTGTATAATTCGATTATGTGAACAAGTTATATTTATTTTACATTTACATTTAAAAAATATATTAACAACCCGTTCTATGGAACAACCACCTGCCCGCTAGGCTTCCGAAATAACACAATCCAAATATAATATTATTTTCATACTCTGAATTTTAAATATTTTTATTTTTATACATGATCTTATAAACACTACAGATATTTAGTTGTATTATTATGATTTATGTTATCAATTTCTCTTGAGTTTGGGAAGGTAATGCCGTGCAATAGTGCGAGTCACCATTGCCTTTCAATGTTGAGTAGGTGCCTACCAACTAAGAATTTTTAGTTTGGACATTGAAACTTGCCGTTTATTAAAAATAAAAAAAAAAGAGTATAATATTCGAAAATTTGAAATCATTCAAAATAATATTTTATTACATTGGTTGTAAGAACTTATTTTTTAATTCGATCAAAAAAATATTTTTTTACCGGTCTTCAATTATCTAATACACCAATGGTTTCATATTAAGTCAATTATTGTTGTGCAAAAGAGTATAAATAAATAAAAACGTCAAATTTTTTTGGTCGTTACCAATGCATCAGGTGTATTTTTGACGGATTCTCAATAATAATAAAGAAATGGGTAATTTACTAATCACAAGTAAAAATAAAGCATATTAAATATATATATATATGAATATCTGCGTTCTTCGAAAAATTAACTATGCGTCACTAGCTTTAAGTTTTCACATACTCTAAATTTGTATATTTATCTAACATTACTTGTTAGATACACACTTTTGAAAAAAACTCATTAGTAGTTAGCTAAAAAGAGCAATGTGTATCACTTCGCTTTTAACGTAATTTTCATGTACTAGTTAGCACATCCATATATACATTGGAAATATTAAAAAACTATTTTTGAACTGTTACTATTTTTTACATACATAAACGGATCTATCGATAAATCAAAAATAATTCAAATACTTACACATCAGTAGGACACATATTCTTTTCATTTTTGTAGATCGGTGATTTAAGTTTTGAGAAGAACACCTAAAACATTTTTCAGCCAAAAATATTCAGCACTTTAATAGCAGGCAAGAGTTTCGAAATAAATGAGCGCCTTTGAAATTAAAGTGTTCAAGGGTCTCCTTAACTGGATATAAATGCATAACACCAGTGTTGCCATTTATCAAGGTGCAAAGTACCAACATAAATGACAAAATCACGCAATACCGTGTACATCACAAATTCTTTATTTTTGTAAGTAAACGTTTTATTTTTTATTTTTAATAATTACAATTTTAACAAAAATGACTACACATATCTCATTTATGTACAAAATATACTTTTGTATTATTGATTAACGTAGTTTGAAGAAGTCATACTTTAAGTTATTATCTTAATAACTTGTGACAACAATTACCAAATATGTTAATATTCAAGCAAAATTGTTTTAATATATATTACTTGATTTATAGGTGTATAATATTAAAAAGAAAATAATAACATTATGTAAAAACACTAGTCGAAATAAACCAATTTATTAATGTCGTTTAAATAATATTTCGTAATCTTCAGAAATATGCCAGTAGTTGAATGTAATCAGTCACAAGTTCTTTAAAGGATAGAGAATGTCTCTTTTGGTTTCTAAAAATGTATGTGCAAATAAGAATCATGAACAAAACAATTGAAAAAATCAAATCATATTTCCTGTAACAGTTCTTAGAATTGGAATCTAGCCATGGGGACACTTTGATCCCTAAAATCATACTGTTCAATTCCTTGTTCAGTTTCTTGTACAGATGGCGCAACACGTGGATCGTCTTCGTCAGAACCAAAATAACGTTCAATAATTCCAAAAGCTTTCTGATAAATTTCAATGTTTTCATGTGACTGTAGAAACTCTATTTTGTCAAGACCATAGCATTCTTCTAACAGGACAGCATACTGATTAACAGCACCAGTTTGTCTAGCTAATTGTTCACCTAACTTAAGAATGTTTTCTAGACCATTCAAAGCCACCTGGATAATTTTTACATCTGTCACTGTCAGGAGATCACACAATGGAGGAATACATTTCTGAAAAAATAGGAATGAAAAATAAAAATAAATAACAAAATATTAAAATATTTTTCAGTTGAAGTACATACTTGCTCGACTAAATGTTGAATTTGTTCTTGTGTTCCCCCAGAAGTAGCATTTGTTATTGCCCATGCAGCTTCTTTTCTTGTCTTAAACTCAGCTGAGGCCATAATATGTATGAGTGCAGGGAATATATTTTCATTCAAAACAGCCTATAAATATACATATAACATTTATTCTATCTGTATTTTAATTTTAACTTGATATTATTAATTGTCTCACTTGTATTTGGTTTTTATTTCCAGCAGTAATATTAGAAATAGTCCAACAGGCCTCTTTACGAATAGTTTCTTTTGGAGATCCCAACAAGCTTAGTAAGCAAGGTAAGACTGAACAATTTAGAACAACTTGTGTTTGAAGATCATCACCAGTTACTATATTACCAACGGCTCGCAGAGCGGCGGAGACAACATTATTTTGTGTGTGCCTTTAAATAACGTAATGTATAAAATTTAATTATATATCAATAAATGTTTATAAATTATAGTTACATAAGTAATTCAACTAAAGTTGGACAAACTTTAGCATCAATAACTGCTTGAATTTTTTCATTTGGACCATCTGATAAGTATGACAAAGCCCAACAAGTATCTGCCAGTACATCTGGATCATTGTGACTCAACAGTTCGGATAAAACTGGTAAAGCTGGTGAAACCATAGTGAAATCAGGCGGGGGCACTTTTCCTCGACACAAATTAGATACAGCCCATACAGAATTACGAGTCATTGAAAGACGTGAACAACTATTTAGAAGTCTAAAAAATAAAAATAATAAAAATAAATATTTTAAGTTGTAGAACATATGATTACTCTAAGAAGACACCATACCCGCATCAGTTGTCTCTGACTTACAAACATACAATAATTACAACATACCAAATTCGTATTCAGTAGAATCAATTTTCTGTTGTTAGGTTTAATATGATAGTAAATTCACCTATTATCAAATTTAAAAGTAAAAATATTATCTAGATTCTAGGATACCTTGAAACCCTTTTTTATATTTAATCAAATTATAAATATTTTACAGTTTTAAGTCACTTTAAAATTAAAAGGTCAATGAGGAAATATCATAGATCATGTTCTTGCCTATGAGTTTGATGATAAGTCAATTTTTTTTCACTCCTACATTTAATATCCAACCAAAATCGGTTTTACCGTTTAGTATATTATAATACTATATAAGTAGTGGTGGCCACTAACCTTAATTTTGGGAACTGCAAATTTATAAAGCTAATTTGAGGAGAGTCGTAATGTAAAATGATGTTTATAAAATGAAGACACATTTTTCATTTTAAATCAAATTAAGAAACAGCAATAACTTGTGCCGCCATGCCAATCTATAACGACTGTAATAATGAAACTGACGGCGATAAAAATACTATCAAATGATTCTAATGGAATTATGTATTTATTAATTTAAGTCAACTTAACTTAGTTCAAGGTTTAAGAGCCGCACAAAACTGATTTAAGAGCTGCATGCGTCTTGCGAGCTTTGCTGTGGTCACCCCTGTTACAAAGTATATAATTACTATTACCAACTACCAAGTTATATATTTCTTTTGAATTTTTGGATCTAGTACCTATTTCAAACAATTGCAATGGTTATTTAGTATTTATTTTGTTCTTTTGTATTCAATTACGTCTATACTTGTGCAGCCGAGAGAGCACTACTGAGCGGTGACCAAGACTCGTCCAATCACAAGCATTACTAAACCTGCTAAACCAGAAAACGAGGAGCTCAGTCACTTGGATGCGCGAATCAGTGGAGCTCTCTGTGGCAAACGTATAGCTATTGTTACTTCAAGTGTAAAGCTGTAAGCCATTCCATGCCAATTTAAAAATAAAATATTAAACATTATGCTATCACTTTTCCACAAATTTTAGATACCTAGGCACACCCGAGCAACCCCCTAACGAATGCCTATGAATATTATTATTATGTCAAACAATTAAGTATGAGCAATAATATTATTAGTGACTAGTTGCGTGTTCTGTTATAAGCGACAATGAACTAATATTTAACGTAGCGTAAACTATTGACCATTGTTTCCCTATGCAATATACACTCAATGGTTCTACAGAAATTAAATTTACTACTCTATGTTTGTAAGGCGGAGACCATAAACACAGATACAGTGGTATATCCTTTTCATAAATTAGTATATAACAGAAGTCTGCAGTTACTAAATGTACACAAATGTAAAATTAGATTAGGTGAACACATTTTTAATTCATTACGTATGAATTTGTAAATTTTAGAGTTATTACTTTAATAATGGCTTCATTATGCCCATGTTCAAAACGTAATCACGACACATAGGAGAATCTCCAGCAATATTTCCCAGAGCCCAAACTGCTTGTTCTTGTACATCTTCATGTGGTGATTCAAGCAAGTATATGAATACCGGTACGGCATCAGCTTCCATTACCTTTCGTGTCTGTTCTGATGTTCCAGAAGCAATATTTGTCAAGGCCCATGCAGCTTCAAACTAAGAAAATTATATGTATAAGAACTAAGAACGCTCATATCATAGGTTATACTAGTAGCTATTTAATTATTAAAAAAAACTACAAAGTGCCTATTTATAGTAATATCAAATATAAATTCAATTGCATACCTGTAAATGGCTATTGGTTGTATTTTTCAAAAACTCAACAAATCGTGGAATAACACCAGTACTAATAACTGCATCAATAGGAGGATTAGGTTCAGATGACAATAATTTCCTAAACTTTTGAGTTGCTTTTAATTGATCTTCTTCATTAATGCTATACAAATGTTTAAGCAGTTCTTCATTTATGTTGGACCAATCAGTCGCAGTACTAGGTAAAACCACCTATAAACATGTGTATTTGAAAATGTTAGAATTATATTTTTTATAAGTAAATCAATGTTCATCAAAAATTTAACAAAATGACAGAAAATGATTATTTCACCTCATTAGTACTTACTAAGACATATTAAATATTTATTACATCAAGAAATCTAATTTAATTAGGTGGATATTAGGTATTGATAATTATTATCATTTAATTTGGACATTGTATTGAAGTAAAAGGTGTTTAAAAATAATATTGAATCGAAAATCAAAGTTTCACAGATAAAAAGTGTTACTAAGGTTTCGTTTATTTTATATTGGGGGTACCTAATTGAGTGAAATTACTAGGTATGGAATTCGTAAACTCGAGTATAAATGTTAACCGGTTTAAAATAAAAATTTAAATAGTAATGTATTAGGATATGTATTATAATAGGAATGGAAGGTCATCGATAATACGGAATATGTTTTTCAAAAAACTTTATTCATTGTTAACGTTCTGGGTGTAATTTGTAGGCCTTAAAGCCTATAAATTCACAAATATGGTCAATCAATGGGTTAAAATATGAAGGAATTAACGAATGCCAATATTGTAGGGTCTTAATCGAACAGTGAATCACACTTACATCAGGGTCATCGTTCTGAATAGTCTCGTTGATGTTGCGCCTTTTGAACAGCTGAATGTCTCGTTTCTGCTTGCGCAACTGTATGCCTTCTTCTTCACGCCTGCGACGCAACTCTTTCGAGTCAACGCCTTCGTTTTTGTACCGCATTCTGTGTGTGTTGGACATGATCGACGGCTATGGGTAACGGCACCTCTGCAAATAACAGACAACCGATTGCATTAACGTACAAGATAAAAAAATTTCGGTGATACCACGGAAAAAAATACCGAGCAACGCACACACGACATTTAAGGTTAAGTACGGACTATTAACATGCGTACTGCCCAGGTAGCTGATGGCCGTTGAGCGGCGGACAACGTACTTACGATTAAACTGCGGTGCGTGTGGACGGCGGGTGGTTTTGGAAGCGGAGGCGATATCGTCAACGGGCACGGAAAAAACGGATTATGTTCGACTGGTTTCCACTGAGATCGGCGCGGAGAACGTGCAAGAATATCGCACTAGTGCGTAATCAGAATATCACATCCGAGTAAATAAATAAAAAACAAAAACGGATACGGCGGAGGGAAAACGGTCGGCGGTCGGTGGAGAGCGGGACCGAAAGTGCGCGCCAAGACCTTGGAAGAACGGTTAAACAGCTGTTACCGCGGAGCAACAACAAAGGAATTCGATATTTACATCGTCTTTGAGACCGGGTCGATCGGTCGCGTCGGCGGCGGCGCCAAATGCCAATCGACTATCGAGGCACGGAATAGGTGAAATTATTTCATCCCGCGACGGATTTAATTCAATTTTATTTGTCGCGTTTCGTCTGTTCAGTGCTCGGAGCCTGTAACTGCCAACTTGCTAGCTGCTAATTGCGAATATTATTGTGATTTGCCCTTTGGTGGTCAGTGGTCGTTACGGACTGCGAGTCGACGATTACTCATCATTTGTTTTGTTGTTTTAGTAACCGACTTTGTTTCCAACATTATGTTTCAATCTTTGAACATTCATTTATAGGCAATTATGATTGTCGTACTATAATCAGGAATGAATAATGACATTTTCTGACGATGATTACGTTAACTACAAAATAGTATAATATTAATATTCTATTTCAATATAACTATATAAGTAAAAGTAATTTATATAATATTCGGAATTAGGATAGTAATAATAATAATTATTAGTATATTTATTGTTTCCTACGTAGTTATGATCTACGGCGTATACCTAACGAGTTTATGTGTTATTTCTCATCGTACATAATGAGTATGTTTGTTTTTTTTTACTCAAACTTGGGTAAAATACTTTTAAAAAGGATTTGGAATAAATACCAGAATACTTATGAAAAATAATTTTCAGAATGTGTATTAATTCAAATAGTATTCACTTGATAGAAATAGCATAAGCGGAGCCAGAAGTGTTGTTCAGCGTATGCAGAATCTCAATCGGCCCACCACAATAGGGGGGGGGCTTATCCCTAAATTCCCCTTAAATGTTTTTTTACAGTCACTTTTTATTTAATAATTACATCATATACATACTTTTACACGATCGATCTTGGCGTAGGATTACTTAGACATTTTTTTTTTTGATAGAATGCATTATTTATAAGTTTGTATGTATTATAATTTGAAAATAAAAAAATCATTTAATCTTCAACTTGGATTTTTGATTATGAATTGGATCTAGCTAACACTCAACTGCAACTTCAAGCATAAAAAATATACACACATTGCAAAACCAATAGATGATTGCACAACTATCCCAAATATATATTTTTTGGGGAAGGAGAATGGCTGAAGCCTTGATTTTTTCCAAAACAGTAACCCAGAGGAATTTAACCCTCCCCCTCCATAATCATTTGCTATACTTATTATAAAAATAATTATTTATTACTCCAGTGTCATTTTTATTTTATTATTTCTAATGAAAGTATTCATTACTTGTTTTAAGTCTTGCTTAACAAATTTAATGTTAGTTGCATTATCTTTAACCAAGTTTTTAGAATTAGTATGTAGGTAATAGGTACATAATATACTTTTAACAAAGACTAAATATAAACTGTAAGTTATCTGCAATAATTAAATATAAAATTTGACAACAAAAAATATTTATATAGACTTTACAAAACACTTTATTTTCAGTAGTAAAAATTACAAAATGTCTTATATCTTAAATCTTAAGAGTGTATTGTAATTGTGACGATAACATTAAATTTGGTGTTGAATATGTGCATGCCATGTTTTATCTGCAATATTATGCTAAATGCTAATTACCATTTATTAATTTTTCATTTATATTATATGAGTCTAAAGATTAATTTATCTTCAGGGGGCTATGAGTAGTTCATAATATCTTGTCCATTATTTGTAGGTATAACTTAATACTAAATTTTTATTTCATTGTTGTTAAGAACACGAACACTACTTATTATTGGAAGTAGGTAATCATTTATCTTAAATTATGGTGACAAATTAAGATTCTGTTATAAAATAACTTACTACAATTACTTTATCAAATAATAGTAAAAACAGTTTATTAAAGGGTACATTGTATATTTTATTATTCGTATTAGAATTCATAAGCATTAAACAAATTATATTAAACTAAATTGTCTAAATTGATACTATGATATTGAAACTCAATAATCAAATAATTGTTCATTATGCATGATACACATTTACTTGATGCACTTAACTTTTTATAAAGAAAATAACCAAGAATATGATATAAAATTATGTTAAGTATTGAAGTCAGAAATTAGAAAATACGACATGATTAAAACGTATTATTGTGCAGAGGGAGAGTAAAAAACATAATAATAATCATGAAATACTTAAGATAATAAACAATAATATACCTACTTTAAGTTATATTATGTATAAGTATGTTTAAACTATTGTTGTGTCAAACAATTACTTTAAGACAAAATTTAAGTAATTCATAATTTTAATTATAGATTATTACGTAAATATGCATACATATTATGTAGATAAAAAAAAAATCAGAATTCATACATAAATAATACATTTATTAATTTTGAATAATATGAATATTATAAAATGGGATTAATTCTTATCATAATTTATTCTGGTATTGCCAGCTATAAAAACAAGAAAAAATAAAACAGAAATAATAACAAAATATTGATAAAAAAAAATCAGCCCTCTATATGAAATTGGAATTAAATTTCTACAAAGAACTTAGGAGTTTATTTAAACTAAGTAATCACCAATAAAACAAATTTCTACTTTTTATTCGCTTTGATGGCTTTATCATTGTAATTCAAGTATGCAACACCACAGCTAGTCAACGCCAAACCTGAAACTAGACCAGTAACAGTGGCTAAACCAGAGTTATTCGGCAATAAACTACGTAAAATAGCCCACGACAACACTGATCCCATGTTGAACAAAATTGACCCATATACGCTAAACATACAAAAACATTTATTATTATCAAAAGTGTTGTTATTGCTTGGTTTTAATGAAAACATTTTTACCTGTACGCTACGCGTAGTTTGAGAGGCGCTTCACTGAGATGTGGGCGTCCGGAGATAAATAGAAACGACCCAATGCAAGAGTTGAATAAAAACATATTTGTGAGGTCTGGTTTAGGTAGAACTCTAAACAAAAACAGAACACCGATTAACCATTGGATAATGTGATATTTTTTCAAATTAAACAATTACCTTTGCAAAATTCCGGGGTTCATCACATTGATAGATAAAAATGCATAGTTTAAAGTGCCAAATGCCGGGGCGTAGTAATTGATTGCAGTGTCTTTCGTTACTGGAGGAGGTTTGTACTCTGCGATTGCTTTCGCAAAAGGTGTCTCATCGCTTGCCATTATAATGTATAGAATTGACAATTTAAACGGAATACACAAAAACTATAAATCGATGAAACGGAATATTTTCTAAAAAGTAAAAATTGATATAAACCTTTAATTTTATAATATTTACCAAAGCCGAAGAGCGTAAAAGATAATATCAGCCGATATATTATTTAGCATGAAACCGAGTACTATGGTCACTGGTCTGTGGACCGTGGTGTGAACCAACTTAAAAAATATAAAATTTATATTCTTATCAAATTATCTGCAAATGTTTGTGTTGTCATTATGGGCTTTGTATGATAAAATCATTTTTCGTACGTTGGTATACGACACGAAAACGCGCGAATCTATTTTCAAAATGAAGTAGGTATTACCTAACTCGAGTTTGTGTTTATTTGGAATTGGTAAAGATCGTTTAAAATGTTCGTGAGAACAGAAAACACATTATTGACGAATGATTCGAATTTGAAATTGAGTGTACATTATAATTGTATATTTTCATACCAAAACCGATTCAGAACGGAGACGGTCTGCTAGCCTATAATATACATCAATGTATTTCATGATATTTGATTTCGGTATTCAAGTTATTTGTTCAATGGTTTTGAATATTATAAGAATATTAAAATACGTTTGAGGAAAAATAATTTTTTACATACGCAATAAGCTTAGGAAAGTTCTTTAAAAAATAATTTCTTTATTTCCAAAAATATGGTTTATTTAGTGGTTTTAGGGTAAAAACACCCATTATCAGTATTGTAGAAGAGAAGTTAATCTGTGCTTGTTCAAAAGTCAATTTTCGATATTTAACCTTTAAAGTCAATAATTCAAATTCAAATAAAATATCACAAGTTTTAGAGCTAAATATTGAACATTTAAAATAAAATATCGAAAATTGACTCATATACAACATGCCTATAGATAAACTTCTTCTCTTCAATATGTATAATAAGTGTTAATATCAAAATGTAACCCAGTGATATACGTTATTGGAAATACAAAACAAAGTTTCAGTATTTCTCTAAAAACGCAAGACATTCTTATATTGATCATACATTTGTAAAAAATAATTATTTAATAAATATATTTGAGGCTTGGGTTTATACAGGCGACAAACATCACGAATTACGTATTAACGGTATTAGCAATACCGATGAATGGAATATTAAAATCACAAATAAAAAAAAAAAAAATAGAAATAATAAGTGAACAAAAAGTTGAAATCTCGTCCCACTTTATAAAACCTTGTATGATAATATTTTTAATCCAGAAATAACAGGACAAAATATCATTCTAATAATAGCTTAATAATAGATATTTCGTGGTACCGTACGGTCGTACAAATGTACAATATACAATACACCTAAATCGACTTTGGATGCAATCAAGGAGGAATGTGGTGCTATGTGTAAATTGTAAACATAGGCACAAAGTTATTAACCCAAATTCCCAAATAATTTATAATTGTATTTATTAGTTGTTATTGTATAATAATATATACTAGTTTCCCGTTTCTTTCTTTTACCTCCTCGAAAACTCTAAAATGGCTTGGCAGCCGAATGTCACCACAATGGCCAAGCAAAACAAATCGTCGATGTACGTCGAATATGGTAACCTTATTAATGAATTAGAACAGTACATGCCACAATTCAAAGCAACTATCAAAGACCTACAAGAACCCTCTCAGTCGTTTGTTACAAATTTCTACACCGACGTGTTCAACGAATTCTTTTGTGATGTGAATAATTTAATCGAGGTAATTTTCATTATTATTATATATTTCGTTAAAAATAGTTATTCTATTTTACAGTTAGATAAGTGCATATTAACTCACATTCTCGTGTGAAGTTGTTTAAATATTTTGTATTTAAATCTACAATTGTTGTCTGTAGATCCATATCAATCAAAATCTCACATATAATGAAATGTACAGTGAAACTGTACCAATACTGAATATGTGCACAGCTTTGAAATATATTTACTCAAAATTGGGAATTGATGATTTTGGTATGAATGATATTTGTGATCCGAGTAAGTTTTTGCTATTATTATTAGGTTTTTGTAATTGGTACAAGTAACTATCTTAATTGATGTCCAAGAGATATAAAATATAGAATATTTCAACTACTTATGTTATTTTTTTATTGAGACAATGACAGTGTAAAGTTTTGTGGGGCAAACTGTTCAAATTAGGTTACCATGACCTTATATAGAATCAACTAAGAAAGCGTTCATCTAATCTATATTAGATATTGTTTTTTCATTTTAAATAATTAAAACCAATTGAAATTTATAGTAAAATTATTATTATTATGCCTTTAAAATTGTAACTACGAGAATTCCATGCACAGGGCACCTTAACATCTTAGTAATTTTTTTTGATAGACCATGCTTACTAGCTAAGGTTACATTGATTAGTTAGCTACAAAAAAAAAATGTTAACACTTTAATTATTGCTTCAATTTAAACTTGATTACATTTTACTATTCTATACCTATATGGACTTAAAGAAAGAAAGAACCCAGCCTGTATATTTGTTCTGTCCAAGCTTTTTAGTAATATTTCTTAATTTGAAAGTATATTTTAAAGGTTCAAAAAGAACATACCGCTTGCTGCAAACAATGATAAACTTTATTAAGTATAGTGATGAAAAAATACACGAAGTTGATGCTAAAATGAAAGCTGTTAGAAATATGAAAGATGCAACTGATAGACTTAAGAAGCAAAATGATATAATTTTAAATACAATTAATAAAAAGTCGTTAGACCGTATACATCGAGGAGCTGAAATAAAAACAGTAGGTATATATATACTACATTTTTATATTTAATTTGTATTTTTGGTTGTTTGGTTGTCATTCCTTAGGTCACTGAAGAAGTAAAAGATGGAAAATCTGAAATGACAAAAATTCAAAAACATAGAGATGATATACTAAAAGAATTGGATAAAGTGAAACAGGATCAAGATGATATTGAGAAAAAATGTTCAAAGTTGTGTAAACTAAAAGATAATGTAATGTATATTTTCAATTGTTATTGTTTTATATAGGATTAAGATATTTTTATGCCTGAAAAAACTATTTTTTTAAAAAAGATTTTGTTTTGAATCAATTTACTCAGAAAAAATATTGATATTTAAGCTATTTGTATACATAACAACACAGAATAATACTTATAAATCCACCAAATAATATTGAAATAATATAGTTAAAAATTAACGAAGGATAAAAACTTATTAAAAATATGTGTGTTTAGAAGTGGTAAATTTGACCTCATTGGGTAATTTCGTCTTAGTCGTACAAAGTTCACTCTCCTTTCAATAAAAATTATGCATATCTCAAAAATATTTGTTCACACACTCAATATGACAATATTCCAAATGAGAACGAACAAATGTCTATTATAATGCTTTCAGTTTAAATTTAGATAAAATTCTTTTTATGATACAAAGCATGTCCACAACTTAACACAAAACTTTTTCAATGTGTATATTAAAGCTTAGAGAGCAGTCAAACATTATACCAAGGTCTTTAACACTGAACAATTTAGACTGATATCATCAACTGAATAGTTTCCCAACTTAGTAGCATTTTAAGACTTTCAGTTGGCATTCCTTAAATTTTGTTCAACATTCCCAAAATCTAGTCAAAATTTTTAAAGGTATCCCCTTTGTGAATTTTTTTAAGATTATTTCTGACAATATACAATAGTAGATAAGCATGTGAAAAAAATATTTTGTACAAATTGCATACTTACTTATCTATTAATTTTAATGATTAAAGTATGAAAAATATATTTTATTAATTATAAATAATCATATATTTAATATTAATAAATATAATTTTTGAGTGCTTTCCTATACTAATATTAGTAATATTATATACATTATTTTATAATTTTCCCATTTAATCATTTTAGATTATAAAAGATATAAATGATCTTAGAGCACAAATTGTAGAGTCACCAGATTTATTAAAAGCCGATCACGAACGTTTAAAAAGATTGAAAAACGAAATAACAGAAAAAAAATCTGCAATGATGGCACAAGTCAGCGCTAAAAAGCAAACTGTTATAATTTTAGAACAAGAACTAGCATCCCAAGAAAAGCGATTACGTTTGTTAAAAGATGTAACTGAAAAAAATGAAAGAATTTTGTAAGTTTTATGAGCACACATTTAAACAGTTTAAAGTTTAAACCCATTTTTATCAAAAAGCATTTAAACAACAAATTTTATTTCTGAATAACAGAAACTGTATAGTTTTTATTTCTTATGAAGAAATTGTGTATGTATTATTTATTATTGATTTTTTTTCATTTGTTTTAGTAAATTAACTAATGAAATTGAAACCATGTCACAAACAAAATCTGAATTAGTGGAGTCTTCTGAAAATTTGAAGGAGATGATTGAAATTGTGGAAAGTGAACGTGTTGATATAAACAATAAAATAAATAATATTGCTAAAGAAATGGATAGGGAACACAATTCATACAAGTCTAAATATGATGCATTAAATAAGTAAGAATAAACCATCAGTTAAAAAATTGTTCATTACACATTAGATATGGACATTAAATTATATTTTAACGTGGACCTATTAACTAGGTTATTATTGGAAATAGTTATTTGTATTTAAAGCTTATTTTTTGTTTCATCAAGTTAAATTTGTATTTATATACTATAATACTATTCTATCAAATAAAAATTATTTTTATTTTTTTGAAATTAATATTTTTTTATAGTAATTACATTGTAATTAATATGCTTAAACCTAACTTCATTAAAATAGTACATATTTCAAATACTATTTGAACTGTTTTCTATGTATTTATACACGTATGATATGTATGTTCCAGAGAATTTGACAGCATGATAAGACAGTCTAGTCACCTAACTGAAACTATTAAATTGTTAGAATTTGAGATTAATAAATATAATTTGTGTAAGAAAGAATTGGAAACTGATGTAATTACTATTATGAAAGAATTTGAAACAGCCAAGAATGATTTGAATGAATTAGTAAGTTCAATATTATTATATTTTTTTTTAGTTTATGTTAATTAAATTTTAATTAATTGATTTACAGCAAACAAGTTTTCAAATGGAAACTATTAGAAATCTTGTGAAAAATGAACATTAATTCGAGAAAGTTTTTTACTAGAAATATATTATAATGTCGCACTTGTAATAGCACCTAATGTGCTGAAACATTAAAAAAATTATTTAACGCATTGAATTATTTATTGAAATTTATTATGTTGTACCAAACAAATTACCGTGCAGCAAGCTACAAGCTGCTGTCGAATTATTTTTGCACAAAATATATTAGAACAGTAAAGAAAAAGGAATTAAACAATTGTAATCTTAAAGAAATGCTATTATATAAGCGTCTATAAGATTTATTATTTTCCATATTTGTTTCTAATTCATATGTATTACATATTTACATGTATTACGTATTTACGTCAGTATAATGAAGCTGTCACAAGACTATTATAATTTATAATAAACTAAATTAATTACTGTCACATAATTAATTTTTAAAATCCAATATTAATTAAAATATATTTAAAAACGAAGAATAATAAGTGTAAAACAATTACTGTCTTCTTTGATTTTGATGATTATGACAAAGAGTTCCACGAATATTTAAATTATCAGTGTAGACTATCAAGATTTTCAAGAAGAAAAATTCGATACGTATCGATACGTACCACCTCGTATCGAAGTCCGAGTCCGATACGGGTCGGTACGTATCGCTTGTATACTGCACGTGTAACTTCTTGAACGCTCAAAATTGCCTCGATACGTATCGATACACTCCAAATTCTTCCTTGAAAATCTTGCATTTTATACTGTACGTATATGGGTTGATCGGTTAAAGTAATACTTGGGATGAACATAACTTTAAAAACAACAAGTATTAGTTTAATAGTTACAGATTCTGGTTATTAGTAGAGCGCTATTAGCAATAAGCAGCAAGTCCATGTTATTATACACTAATATAATTTATAAGTCTGAGATCGTGGTCTATATATAGTCTACACTCTATAAAATACCAACTTATATAGAAAAGAAGTTTTGACATTTTGTTTTTACAGTTGGTCACTCTGACTACCATAGTGACCCAACTCTTATCTCGGGGACCCAACTGACCCCACCCTATATTTTATGTATAACTATTTTGTATAGTAAACAACATTTATAATAATCGTTCGGCCTGCTAGACCTTTCGTCAGCTGAACCAGTCTCGTTTCACCATTTGCTTCGTGTAATGTTGCTGTCAGGTCATCGGTAAAGTAAAATATTTTATATTACATTTTGTTTTACATTTTTAAATATACGTTAAATTATACTCGATATAACTAGTTGTTTTGTCGAACATCCAAATCCCCTCACATTCCCCCGTTTGGTACTCAGTGGCGTATTTTCAAATTTTTCTGGGGGGGGGTCCTCAGTTTTTACATAATTAATATAAAAAATGATATCTTATAATAGTTACGTCCTTATGAAGTTTTTGGAGGAAGTTGAATAAAATATATAATAGTATAGTCTTATGTAATATTATATATTTATATATTGTATTAAGCACTACATATGAAAAGTATTGTTATAAAATAAATTCCAGTCGTCTAGATTTTTTTGCCAACTCCTCTATCACTTCATCAACAGTGATTTCAAGATCCCTGTGAATATTTAACATAGCCAATCCGTTAAGTCTTTTCTAACAAAACAAAACAA